GTGTATGTGAAGCTAGATGGATAAGTAATGTGGACCTCATAATCGGCGGACAATGGATCTTATATGCAAGCGGAGAGAACATTGAAAGTGGAGTAGGACTCATACTAGATCACTGCAGGAAAAATGTGTAGTGAGATACTGTCACTTGGCTGAGAGAACACTTCTAGTAAAGCTGAACGAAAAGCTGTTTAATATATCCATTATAATACTATAAGCGCCAACGATACAAAACACGGAAAAATATAATAAATTTTATAGCACACTGGATAACATTAGGATGCAATGCAAAAGGCACGACCTTACTCTCATCATACGATCTATAAACGTTTAATTAGGAGAACGTGAACTATTTGGCAAGTAAGGACTATGATACTGGAACAAGCGAAGATAAAAGAGGTCGAGTGGTTTTCAGGAAGGAAAATGATGAAGAATATCTGGTTCCAATAAGACCTAAGACCCTTGTGTACTAGATTCATTACATAGCAGTTAAAATAAATAGCTGACAGCAAACAAGCTGTAGATAGTACAGAGACATACATTATTAGAACAACAAAGAATGGATGTTATGGATAATTATGATGGCCTCCTGAATGAAGTCACGGTGGAGTAATATGATTGCAGCGCAAATTGAGAGGCGAGTTCGAATTCCAGTTGAGTTCATTTCATTCACTTACGGGCTAATACTCTTGGGAAAAGTGAGAATCCATCTCTTCTTCTCACTAGATATGAGTAAATAGCAGGACAGCCTATATTCCATATCCTTGGGTGGAAAGGAAAAAGTCTGAATTCAAAATTGTATGTAGCCCTGGCGAAGGTCATACTATGAAAAGGATCGTTCACATTGACTCGATTATCCCGACTACGGTCGACTTTTTACACCCTGAACAAATATGGCCCATAAAAGAAGTATATAGACATAACAGCATACCCCTCCATTGGAATCGAACTCACTAAACAAGTTAAGGGCTTACTAAAAGTACTTGATCATTGATCTGCGTCAGGAGCCCTTGTCTCGCGTTTACCTAGCCAAACTACCCGCGCCTTGCTGTGTGTCACACATTTTTTCAAGAAAATGATGATTGATTTTAAATCATTGTTATATTAGGTTGGTGCAAAAATAATGACGTAATAATGTCGTTTTTTGACGTAGAAAAGTACGTCAAAAAACGACATTATTACGTCATTATTTTTGCACTAACCTAATAATTTGAGGAGATGATGCATTTTAATATTACTCATTGATCATACCAGTGTGACCTCGATCTTTTCTCCTTTATATTTTGAATAGGATTCATCCCTTGTTCAAATTTAAATTTACTTTAAATTAAGGGGGAAATTCAATGGGGTGGGGGTGCAAAAAGCAGCTTAACCTGAACCCTTTGATATGAATTTGATGCAATACCTGATTGAATGAATTGATGATCAGATTTCAGCATTGGTATGACAGTTGAATTGTTGCATCAAACATGTACTTTAAGGTATTACCCATTGATTATTGATTTCTTTCTTAACTTAACGCCCATATTGACCCATGTTGATCTTGACCTCTATCTTATGGCTTTCCCCGTATATATTTTGTTCAAATTTTGATTTAATTTGAACCAAAGGGAAAAATCAATGGGGCTTTGTGCCCCTCCAGGGAGCCCTTTGATCAAAATAAAATATAGTTGTATCCTTGGAGTCATTTCTTTCAAATTAAAATTTAAAAAAGGGAAAAAAATCAGTAGGGGGTTTGTGTCCCCCCCCCCCCGAAACCCATTTGATCAAAATGATCTTGCCGATGTGACCACCATCTTCTAGCTTTCTCATTCTATATTTTGTATAGGAGTCATTCCCTTGTTTCAATTAAAATTTAGGTCAAAAGGAAAAAAATCAGTGGAGGTGTGTCACTTGGAGTCCCTCTTAGATCAAAATGAAATACACTTACCCAAGTATCGTAGGAGTCATTCCATTGTTCAGATTTAAATTTAATTTATATCAAAGAGGAAAAATCAGTGCGGATTTGTGCTTCCCGGGGACCACCTTTGATCGAAATGAAAGACACTTATCCATGTACCCATTGTAATGTAGTTTCAGAATATATATGCTTATGTGCGTCTATCTCTAAAAACCCGAGGAGGAGTCTGATAAAAAAAATATCAGAATCTACAACTTTATATATATATATATATATATATTATTAATATTTTAATATCTAATAAAAATTATTCATTTTTCACTGACGGTACTCTCTTCCATCTCCTTGCTTTCCAATAATCTTTGATCTTCAAATATGTAGCAGTATCAAACGTTATCTTCTGCCTTCTTAATCCCTGTTCTTTTATTGTCCTCTCTCCTGGTTGATGTATTGGTTTTCTCATATTCTTTTACATTCAGTAACTCCATTGCATCTTGGTGGCTTTATTGCTTTGTTTGAGTAATAATGATTCAAAACATTATATGAAATGAATATATTTATGGATAATTACCATTAATTCTTATTATTGTAAAAATTTGAATCCTTTCAAAGTATTTTTGAACAGGATAGAATAAGAGTGAAATTGATGTCAACTCCCAGCAGGCATTCAAATATTGCTTATTTAAAATGAATCCGTAAACAGTTAAATTAAAGTAAAAAAAACAGATAAATAAAGTAAAAATAAATATATATATATATATATATATATATATATATATATATATATATATATGTATGTATGTGTGTGTGTGTGTCTCTCTCTCTCTATATATATATATATATATATATATATAAATATATATATATATATATGTATATATATATATATATATATATATATATATATATATATATATATATATATATTCATATCGATGCTTTGAAGATTTCATTGTAATGCAAGGGAGAACAGCAGCCTGGTTTTATTTGAAAAGGTAACTGCATTTTCTCATTTTATTGGCATTTATTTAATATCCTTCTTCAAAAAATACTTTGTTCATTATACAACTCAAAATAGCATTTTTCTAATTAAACTCATCGTTTTAAAGTGTATGATTATTTTGTGTGAAATTAAAAGAAAAATGAAATCTCATTTGTTCATTTATTCTTATACAATGATTATTTTAGACTTGCGGCACAATATACGCCTTTGTGAATTTTTTGTGCATGTGCGTGTGTGTGTGGGGTGTTTGTGCTCGTTTGCGCTTTGAATGCTTTGAGATGATAGTTGGGTTTATCTAGTTGTATCTGACCAGTTTATGGCTAATCCGTACTGACGTAGAGGCAGATAAAAGAACCTTACATTTGGGCACGTGCTAGAAAGACTAGAGAGAGGGAAAGAGAGAAAGGGAGAGAGTGAGAGATTAAAAGTCGTTTCTCGCAGAGATGTCCATAAACATTTCTGTAGGACATGTATATGTACATGTATATTATCCAGACTCTTACCGAAATAGGCGTTTTAGTGGTCACGAAATCACAAGCATATTCGAAAGAACTGACCAACATTTTACTTCCATGCGACACTTTTAATCCTTTCCTTAGTTGAAAATAGCGTTTTCATGTTTAAGACAAAGAATAATCGGGGGCTGTTATAATTTGCTCTAAATCGTTCTCTAATTGTTATTTTGACAAGCGTATACGACAACCACAGCCGTTAAGTCATAATCCACATTACTTTTCTATAACGTTTTTTATAACCTTTTGATTTTGGTAGCGTGGAAAGGTAGCATCTTCATTATATCAATATTTTATATTTTAGTTACACGGCCATCCATTTCCGTTGTTCCAGCGTTTGAAAGAGCTCAAGTGTTATTCTCTAAATAACCGGTCTTCAAATGGACCTCCAATCAGTGAGTAAATAGGTCAAAACAAAAACGATTTCATTTAATCACAACAGAGAGCCATTTCAGCTCGCCTTCAACATGGCTGCTGATAAATCCAGGAAAGCAACACTCTACGCCTTCTTAGCCTCTGGTTTTCCATTGACATAAAGTGGAGTGATAATATCGACTGAACAGGAATTGAACTCACAATTTTTATGTCTTCTAATTTACGAACCAAAGCTTTAATCCTGTAGTTTGTTTGACCACGGTTTCATTGACCTTCTTGAATCAACACTTTAATCAAGCCACTAGGCTGTTGTCCCGGTTATATTCATGAATTTGGTGACAAAGCCATTGTGAGTTGAATCACTAGACCGAGCAACGTGTTACTTGAACTCAGTAGAAAGAGTGACGAGTAATAAGTCATGCCGAAAATAAGAACTAGGCGATATATCCCATGTAGAGTGGAACGTGAAGAGTTTATCAAACCCTACAGTAGATTAAATAATGGTTTCAGTCCGGTATCCCATCTATGTTACCCGGATGGACATAAACCTGTTGAATGACGCAGGCCACAACGACTGAAACGGTGTGATAACAATGATGAATATCTAGATCTTTTTGTATTAGTGCAGGTGTTCCCCAGGGCTATATCCTTGGACCTACGTTATTCTAAATTTTCATAAATGACATTCCTGATGTCATCAGTTCCCAACTCGGTATCTATGCAGATGACAAGTATTTACTCTTGTCTTAATATAAAGTCTGATCGGCAGCTGATCTTAAAGATGACTTAAAATCTCTTGTTAAATGTGACAAGGAGTGGCTTCTTTATTTTAACACCTCAAAAACGAAAGTGGTTTAAAGGTCTGATAGAACTTTTTTTTTACGTTCTATCCGCAAAGCTGATGCTAGTCTCAAGGAAAATAATTCATTGCGCCTCCTCTGACTGACATTCTCCGCTGACATTAATTGGAAAGATTATATTGAATCAATTGCTAAGTCCCCAGCTAGGAAATTTGGTTCACTGTAGCGAGCGGGAAATCTTTTCTCGCCAGTATCTCTCTTACATATTTATAAGTCTACCACTCGTCCTTGCTTTGAATATTGCTGTTACGTCTAGTCTCTTCTGGTGCTGCCCTACAGACGGAAGAGGCAGACGGAAGAGGCAAACGGAAGAGAGAGACGGAAGAGACAGACGGAAGAAGCAGACGGAAGAGTCAGACGGAAGAGACAGACGGAAGAGGCAAACGGAAGAGAGAGATGGAAGAGACAGACGGAAGAGGCAGACGGAAGAGGCAAACGGAAGAGAGAGACGGAAGAGACAGACGGAAGAAGCAGACGGAAGAGTCAGACGGAAGAGACAGACGGAAGAGGCAAACGGAAGAGAGAGATGGAAGAGACAGAGAAGAGGCAGACGGAAGAGGCAAAACGGAAGAGAGAGACGGAAGACAGACGGAAGAAGCAGACGGAAGAGTCAGAGAAGAGACAGACGGAAGAGGCAAAGAAGAGAGAGATGGAAGAGACAGACGGAAGAGGCAGACGGAAGAGGCAAACGGAAAGAGAGACGGAAGAGACAGACGGAAGAAGCAGACGGAAGAAGAGACGGAAGACAGACGGAAGAGACAGACGGAAGAGGCAAACGGAAGAGAGATGGAAGAGACAGACGGAAGAGGCAGACGGAAGAGGCAAACGGAAGAGAGAGACGGAAGAGACAGACGGAAGAGGCAGACGGAAGAGTCAGACGGAAGAGACAGACGGAAGAGGCAGACGGAAGAGAGAGACGGAAGAGGCAGATGGGACATGCAGACAGAAGAGAGAGACAGAAGAGAATTAACCCCGGCAAGAGTTAGGCTAGAGACAGTGGAGAGTCGAGTTGGAAACTCAAGAAGGAGAGAACGTGACGTCAGTGATTGGAACGAAGCGTCCGCTAACATGTACTGTTGATATAAGTACCGCTGCTTCTGCTACCACGAATATTACTACTACTGTTACTACTGCTAAGGAGGAATGCCACCATAAACTTGAAGCCACCCACAGAAAACTTTAGAGGTTCTTGATAAAATCCAACGAATATTGTGTAATGTTATTGGTCCTGGATTTTATCAAATGCAGCTCAAAGTTTACCATTTGAATGCCGTTGCCGAGATCTTGAACGAATCGCAGGAAGTCCTCAACTCGCTTACGCAAAACGACTTCAAGGCTGGATTCCAAAAGTGGCAGGAACGTTGGAACCGGTTTATTGCAGCACAAGGTGACTATTTCGAAAGTGATTATGATAACTCTTATGTAAATATATTACGCTTTTTTTTTTTTAATATAACTTGTCCGGAAACCTTATGTTACCACCTCGTATATATATATATATATATATATATATATATATATATATATATATATATATATATATATAGTTTTAAGGTGTGCTATATTAATGGGATAAAGTGCTCAATATCAAAGATAGAGCGTATGTAAATATAAATATAAATGTGAACATTGAAGTCAACACTCGGAGACGACAGGCTGTTTCCTGCTAGACACAATCGTCAGGCCGCGAGTGTCTGACGACTGCGTCTAGCATAAAACTGCTTGTCGCCTCTGAGAGTTGAATTCAATATTCACAACGGCTTAGTGGTAGGATCCCCGACTGATGCCAATTCAGTCGGGTTTCAATCCTAGCTAGAAGCAACCGGATGCCTAACCACACTGATAAGCTGTGATTGAGCGAAGCAGTCTGTCTGTGGATGACAATATACATGCTCCTTATATGTTATTTCGCTTTCAGTTACTTTCGCACCGCTATAACGTAGTATCTGTGTGTCTCTTTCTATAAATATTTTTATGGTAATTGCTCTGATGACATTTCCTTTATAATACCGAGACTTTATGAATTTAAGCACAGTACTAGAGTGGTGGCAAGGTCTCATCATTTTAAAGTTGAAATGGCGAGATGTAACCGTAAATTCTATGTCTTCTCACGCCCTTCTGGCATGTGGAACTCTCTTCCAACTTCTTGCTTCCCAGGCAAATTTAATCTTCAAGTGTTTAAATGCAATGTCAATCGTTACCTTCTGTCTTTGTAATTCTTGTTCGTTCACTTTTGAATAGACTGCTCGGTGTGAACTCTCTTCCTACGGGCGGGAGGAACCTGAAGGAGGCTACGCCGAAGGGCGGAGTCTCCTTCGGGAGGTAGGCTCGGCCCTGAACCCGTATAAACGGGTTCAAATGGGCTATTTTTTTTGGCCGAGCCCTAATGGCTCCGGGAATGCCCACGTTAAAAAGGCCATGTGCTACATGACACCCTCGTGGGGGGGGGGGTGACTCAATATCGTAATTCTTGTTCTTTTATTGTCTGATCTCTTTAATAGTATTTTTTATCACATTCCCTTATACTCAGCAATTACTTGCGTCCTAGTGGCTTAATTGCCTTGCTTATTGTGAAATGATTAACAAATACTCCGCATGTAAATAATGAAAATAATTATAAGTCCTCATCCCAGAAATTCAGCGAGTCACTCGCGTGAAGGTCAATCTGATGGAAGGAAGAAAAGGTTTATTTAGATGATTAATAGATAGCTGTTTCATTTTGGAGGCGATAAAATTAACAAGTCAGTCATTGCTCCAGCTAGCAACTGAGTGAAGGTAGTTTTGTACATTAGCATCCAGTTTGAATTTATCGAACTGAACAGACTTACTATCGAGACAAATTTGTGAGCTGATGCTATCGGGAATGTCATTAATGAAAATTTATGATAAAATAAGTCCAAGGAGAGACCTCGGAGGGACACCTGCATTAGAACGAAAGTATCTAGAATAGTGTCCGTTCAGGATAACCTTCATTTAGCGGTTTGATAGGAAATACTGGATCAGTTAAAACACTTATCCGGAGTTTTATTTAATATAAGTGTTATCTATATCGAATAAGTCTCCATTTATTCGTTAAAGAAATATAAGTTCTGGGAGGGTTACAGCAATCAAACAAAATAATCATAATAATAAACAAGTTATTTTCAGATTAAAAGTTTTAAGCAAGTCTTTATAAGTGTGTATCTGAACATAGACACACGCACACGACCACAACACACACACACACACACACACACACACACACACACACATATATATATATATATATATATATATATATATATATATATATATTGGTAGTAGTAGTTAATAGTTAGTTTTTCATCAAGAATTCTCTGTTGAATACGTTTGGCAGTTTGATAAAAGAGTCGTGTAGTGAGTGTTACATCGGGTGTTTTAAGCGGTTGAAAACTGCTTCGTACATAAGACGCCTAAAGACGAGAACTGGTCGAGCCGCTCCCAACAGTGATTGGGCGTCAATTTTCCCCATGAACTAGCTCTATTCTTAAGCGGAAGCGACAGAAGGCTCGTGACTATACTTCCGCATCGTCTCGTCTACACCGAGGCCCTGAGGGCCTCTCCCGTTTAGTAGCATCGGCTTGTGAAAATTCCGCTCCTGAAAGGAATGCAAAACCAGTATTTGGGGTGTGGTGGGAACGGGCAAAGAAAATGAAGAATTTTAGAAGTATGAACAAAAAGTAAAAAAAAACAAAAAGACACACACACGCACAAAATAAAAAAAAAATGTAAAGGAAAAATGGAAGCGCTGATGAAAACAAATGAATGAAGAGAAAGATGTGAAAGAAAGCGATTATGATATGCATGAGCGAGTAAATGTGTGAAACAAGTATAAATGATAGAGGGAAGGAATAGAGAGGAAAAGCAAATGATAGATAGAACGATGTATACATAGATATTACTCCTTAAGCTACATAAAAATATCGATAGGTAAATTTGAACAAACTCATTTATATATATATATATATATATATATATATATATATATATATATATATATATAGCTGTGAATGGGCATATAGAGACATAGATACATGGAAAATACTGATAGATAGACAGACAGACAAAAAAGTGGGACAAAAATATATACAGATACATATAAACTAAACAATTTGGATGGATAGACAGACAGACAAACGGACATACAGAGATAGATAGATAGATAGATATTAGCTGAACTTTTCTGATAGAAATAGACATAAATTTAAACAGACTCGTATATAGCTATATTCATATAGATATGTAAATACACAGAAAAGATAGATAGATAGATAGATAGATAGATAGATAGATAGATAGATATTACTTGAATATTTGGTATGGAGAGAAATATAAATAAATAGATATATTTGAACAGACTCGGATATATAGATATATAAATTCATAGATACAGAAAATAAAGAAATATAGAAATATAGAAAGACAGACAGAAAGAAAGAGGTATATATATATATATATATATATATATATATATATATATATATATATATATATATATATATATATATGTATAATTTAAATAAAACAGACCACTTTAAGATTCCGTGTAATAAATCATTTCACCACAGCCCTTTTAAAGGACTGCGGATCATCAGACTTTACTTCCAAAGGTTGAAACAAAAAATGAAAAGATTTGGATTTGGAAGTAAAGTCTGATGATCCGCAGTCCTTTAAAAGGGCTGTGGTGAAATAATTTATTACATGGAACCTTAAAGTGGTCTGTTTTTATTTAAATTATTTGCTCTGAATTTACATTGAGCTCTCTGGACTTTATCCTCCTTGGGTTTACCCATACGGGTTACCTAGTTTTTCAAACACTATATATATATATATATATATATATATATATATATATATATATATATATATATATATATATATCTAGGTAGCTAGATATATATATATCGGAACCCGTGATCTATATCTAGCTAGCTTGATATATAGATAGATAACGCTTGGAAATAAGCAAACAAAGAATGTGATAAAATGAATATTTTAAAATTATTGAACAAAGTAAGAAAGCAGAAAATAAATGTGAGAGAATAATGAAAAGCCATCTGCACGACCCATTTCCCACAATTTAACGAAAGTTGCATGGACTTCTTTGTCAGGCCGAGGACATTTCAGCACACCTTGGAAGATTATCAGCTTAAAATTGATTCGTCCGGGAAATAAAAGAGAACTTGTAAAATAAGTGTAAAAACGGATGTCGTGATGAAGATGACCTGAAGTGAAAGAGATATAAAAAGTGCAAACACATGAAAAAAAAAAAGAATGAGAATTATGAACGTCATAAGAAATGAAAGAAAGGCATGAAGTGAAAAAAAAAACTCCAAAAAACACTTCTCTAAAGAAATAAATAGAAGCTCGATGGATGAACAAGGAAAGGAAGAAAGACGAAATAAGACCAGGTATCTGAGAAGACATCTCCTAAACATCAAAAGCTGATTTGAACAAGAAAAGGGTTGCAGAGGAAAGAAATACACAATAGAGATAAGAAAGCCAGCGAAAAAGAAAAAAAAAATACTAATTCAAAAAACATAAAAAATTACGAGGAGGACAGTCCATCAAAATCAGTGTTCAATTGAGAACAAGTAAATAATCTTCCTTTCTGTAAAAGACGACTGAGAGGAAAAAAAAAGCGATGGATATAATAAAAGGCGAGGCATAACATAGAAACAAAAACCAAAAAAAAAAAAAACAAACAAGAAGGAATTTAAAATCACCGCGCCATTTTATCGCAGCGTTGTGAAGCGGTTTCCCTCAAGACAGTTCACTGCCAATCAATGCCTTCGAGCAAGCGATCAAGCAAATAGTACCTGGTGTGAGAAAAAAGAATAAGAAAAGGAAACAAGAGTTTGAAAGGTGGCGAGGTGTGAAAGAAAGAACTCTGGGAATTGTTGAAGACTAGCGGGGGTTAGCATTGCTAGCTATTTGGCAAAGCCACGCGATGAATAACGAAAACTCTACAGATGTTTACTGCCATTGTGTGTGAGTCTATATTACAGAATATCCGCCCTGAATAACATTGTGTAAAGAGTATGATAAAGCTTTTCATTCTTCAGCGTTTCCCGCGCATATTTTAATACGCTACCATGAAAAACACACACAGACAAACGCGAGCATATATATATATATATATATATATATATATATATATATATATATATATATATATATATATATATATATGTTTATATATATATATATATATATATGTGGTATATTTATTCAGCAAGTAATCATCTAGAACCGACAAGGTCTGTCGATTTAAATTTTTATTGTATTTTTCCAATTTTCGGATAAAATGCTGAATATTATTCACGGCTTTTGAGATAAACTGTATTATTAGTAGTTAACAAATAAACACTGGACAGCAGCCAAAGTAGGTAAAGACTCAAAACTCTAGAAGCATATAGACAAAATAATCAACTCACATTAAATAGAGTAACTTGAAGTGCAAATGGTATAATTAATGTGCGCACATATCTTACTAGTATTAAAATAATAAAAAGAAATGCAAAATTACAATTTTATTTACTAGTAATGATAATAATAAAAAATGTAAAATGATATAAAATACAAATAAAACATAAAAATAAAAACTTAAATTCAAATAAATAAATCGCATTCTTTTCGTGTGGCTCATGTTCCCAATAGCCGTTTAAACATCATGTCACCCTAGACCATTTCAAACGCCCAGCTTCGCAAAGAATACTAAGTTTAACCCACCATTGAAAATCGAAAGTAATAGAAGAAAAAGAGAAGAAAATGAACTTCGCATAGTTTATTCATATCTTCGAGTACAAGACTCGACAATTTAACTGAAAATTGAAAAAAACCCAAAAAATCAGATTTTCTTCCATATATATATATATATATATATATATATATATATATATATATATATAAAGGGTGTTCCAATAACTTGGACCGATTTTAAATGGGAATTAAGTTTAAACGTCTTTTAAGATTTTAGATTTAACAACCGTGGAAAGATTAACAATCAAACAATGGGTTAAAGTTATCTAACCCTATTACGAAAATGGACGTCCAAACAGAAATGCAATAAGAAAATTGCCAGGTCGCATCATCTCTCGAAACAGCGAAGTCAATTGGCCACAAGGATCGTGCGAGTTGAGGCCTTTAAATTTCTTCCATTAGGGTCATCTCAAACGTAAGGCTTATGCGAACAAACCAACAACCATTCAGCAGCTGAAAGATGAGATAATAAGGCATATTGGTGAATTCGAGGAGCAACTATGCAGAGACGTCATCAATAATTTTGATCATCGAGTGATGTGTGCCGCCGAAGCCTTGGCGGATATTTGGGCGATATTATTTTTCATGCATAATTATCTTGACTTAAAAAAACAGGGTTCCAATAGAGAAATAAATAAATTTTCACCAAAAAAAAACCCTGATTTATTTACAGTTGAGTTAATGAAACACCCTTTCACATATGTTAACCTCAGCACATGAAGATTTCTTGACCATTAAACTCGTGCTACTAGTGATGGAAAATGAATATTTATTAATATATATTTAATAACACTTTTATATTACATAGGGCACTATTTTATTAACACCAACACTCAATGTTCGATATATATATATATATATATATATATATATATATATATATATATATATATATATATATATAATTACGGTAACATCTTTAAATCTAATTTATGAATGCAATTTGTAATTGTAAAAAACAATTACAAATTGCATTCATAAATTTCATTCATTTATATATATATATATATATATATATATGAATGAAATTTATGAATTGCATTCATTGCATTCATAAATTAGATACAAAGATGTTACCGTAACTATTTTTACAATATTAAAAAAGTACGATCGGTCGTGTAAACAAACTGTTATAATTTAAAATATTTTTTTAAATATGTCCTCTATAAATGTGTTAATAAATATAGTATCTAACTTATGTTAAATCCCTAAACTATTTATTTTAAACAAATTAAATATTTAAATTGATAAGAAACATCAAATTAATTTATTCGGTTCTTTTTTATTTTTCAGACGTCTAAATTACTATCAAGCATTAAAATTTATTCTTTACATAAATTGCTAAAACCCAATTACAGCCTCTTTCTCTTTACTTCCCTCTCCCTCTTCTTTCTCTTTCCTTTTTCCTTTTTCTTCTTTCCTCTCCCATTTCAATATATCACTTCCATTAAGTTTACCGTCTAAATAGGTCATGGTCTGGTCACTCCTCCTCCCCCAAAATATGCTTGGGAGAGATATGAAATTAATCCCTCCCTATACTCTACCATGTCTATTTAACTATCCCTCTTACACTCTGTGTTAAATTACAAAAACTTACACTATCCATCAATTTTCATTTCATTTTTCGTTTCATTTCATTTTTTGGAAGTGCTATCTGATGATCCGGCGTCCTTTAAAAGGGCTCTGGGGAAATAAATTATCATAATGGTACCTTAAAGTGGTCTGTTTTTCTTTTAAAAATATATATATATTTATATATATATATATATATATATATATATATATATATATATGTGTGTGTGTGTGTGTGTGTGTGTGTGTGTGGGCAACAGTTAGACCACGGGACTATGCACAGTGACTTAACTTCACACGTCAGACAATCTCATTTTGTTCATGCGTGATAAAATAAAAGCTCATTTTAATCTCTATGGCATGGTGAATCAATAGAATTGTCATTATTGGGCTTTGAAAATGCAAGAGAACTGCACGAAAAACTACTGCGCATGACGGTGTAATTTTGGAAAAGCTGGCTTCATTGGCGCTTACGTTTTTGAAGAGCATAATGGAAATGCTGTTACTGTGAACACAGAGCGTTACATCGAGATGATAAACGGTATCTTTGTGTCTGAATTTCGACGAAAACATATTCCTATCCGACGTGTCGGTTTTCAGCAACATGGGGCTACGGTCCACACAGCCAGACCGTTAGTGAACGTTCTTCTTTCTCGCCTTATTTTCAGGTTTCCTCACATTCTTTGCTCCCTTTCGGTCCCCTGATTTGTCTACGTGTGATTATTTCTTGTGGGGAAATCTTAAAGCTCGTGTGTATTAGCATAATCCCGGTACCTTGGACGATTTGAAGGAAGCCCTTGGAGTGGAAGTCGTCCGAATCGACAGAGCAATGATGGAAAAGTGGAGACCACTTTCCAAGAACGACTTCAGAAGGGCATAAAAAACGGACACCACATGAGGGATGTTGTTTTCCACACTTGATTTTGTCAAATGCTAAATCAATACGAACAAATTAATGTCAATAAAATCTTTTGAAACTAAACTTAATGATGATGTGAATTTTTCAAAATCGTCCGTCCTCTCACTTTATCATATATATATATATATATATATATATATATATATATATATATATATATATATATATATATATATATATATATATACTTCGCACGTCATACTATATATATATATATATATATATATAATATTAGTGGTTAATATACACATACATATATATACATATATCTAAAATATATAAATATATATACACATACACACACACACACACACACACACACACATATATATATATATATATATATATATATAATTCAAGAGGATAGAATCCAGGTAGAACTCAATGTCCAGGACAGAGTAAGGATGTAATAAAATGGCTTAAGCACTAGTACTACATGGTCATAATTTATTACATTGGAATCGCAAATATGATCCAATTCATCAGACCTACAAATTCAAAAAGAAATCAGAAAAAATAATTCCGGGAATAAAAAAATAAAATTTAGTGAGAGTGTATGCATGAGAGTGTGGGATAGGTATCTATATCTAAAAGAGCGTCTATGGTTGTATAGACGCTGCTTCCAATCACCCGCGGATATACCTATATATCTTTTTTTCTGGTCTATATTTTCCTGGGGTAGATTGTTGCCTCGTACATTACATTTTCATACATACATTTACCCACGATTGGACAATTTCTTTATTTCTGTAATTGCAGGTAGGGTTACTAGATTGAATTTCATTACTATAGTAGTTTCTACGTATTCTACAATTATGGGAAGATATAATTTTCTCCATATTCCTAACGCATGAATAACTAATTTTCAGTGTCTTCGTATTGAAAATTTTATGTAGTGGTTGTTTATTATGAAAGTGTTATTTATGAAAGTTCGGTTTTAGCTGCCCCCTATCTTCTCCCTTTTTTCCTCTCCCGATCTCATCTTCTGATCTTTAAGTGTAGATTATATCATCTATTGTTTGTGTCACTACAAAATGTATACTCTTTTCCGGTGCTGACCTTTAATTTATTTTATGTCAGCGATTCAGAAATGTATTAGACATCCGAGAATTTTCATGTTTATTTGTATCTCGCTCACTATAAAAAAAAACACTGACTACATATGAATGACACG